GCGCACTCCTCATGCTCCATGAGGCTTGTGTCTCGGATTTAGAGGTGTGAGCCTCATATTTCTAACCTCAAAATTACCGCCTCGAGGCATATTACATGCGTTTCATAGCACTGCCGCCTTTTTAAACCATGCATAGTGCTAGTTTTCGTGGCTTATACTGGAGGATAAGCCTTATGGAAGTTGAGGTGTGCACTCGTTTATCATGCCTTTTTTGACTCTTACTGCTAGTTTCAACTTTTTTGGGGCTATTTTTTATGAATTTAAATATTTTACCATTTCTTCTGCCTTTATATGAAAGAGGAAAGAGTAATGCACCATTGTTAGTGAGGATGATGACAAAAAATGATTGGAGACTAATAGTGATGAGGGAGTTAGAGAAATCAAAATGTAGACGATTCTTGTGAACATCCTATTAGTATTAATGTTCTTAGCATGTTTCACATTACCTGGTTGCAAAGGAGCTGTGCAGCGTATTAGATGAAGGCAAACCTCACATTGTAAGTTTGTCTACAGTTTGCATTTTAGACTCATGCACTCTATCATGGTATCAAAGTAAGGATATGCCAAGGACGAGTCAGGTTTTTCTCTATATCCATGTTTGGAGATGCCTAATGAGCTCCAGCCCTCATGCTTAGAGGGGTGTTATCACATCCTACATTGGCTGCGTGCAATTGAAATTTGCAATGTACAAGGTTAAGGCAAATCTTATACTATAAGTTGGGGTTTCAATGATGAATAAGAATCGTGGATTTTATCAATGATATTGGAAACTTGTAGGTTGTTTTTCCTTATAACAGTAGATTACAATTTTTTTCTCGACTAACTTGAGAACTTATTATATGGTATTTTATCAATCAATTTTATATTTATTTGCAAATTAGATAATCAATTTTGTAAGCTCAAGATGATTTATGATTTATTACGAGCATATTATTATGCCTCACCTCATGGCGGTAAAATACCACAGTTCCGATTGCTTTCTAAACATTGATTTCACGTAGCGTGCTTGTGCAAATTGAAATTGATGTATCCTCTAGCAGCTGCAATTGCTTTCTCTGATGTCTTTTTTCTTTTCCGCTGCAGTATCAACCTGATGATCCCATCACCCTTTGGGTGAATAAAGTAGGGCCATACAATAATCCACAAGAAACGTACAATTATTTTAGTCTTCCATTTTGTCGTCCATTGGGTAATGCTGCTCACAAATGGGGTGGCCTTGGTGAGGTATTGGGTGGAAATGAGCTTATTGATAGCCTGATTGACATAAAATTCAGAAGTATGCCCACATGGTTTTCTCTCGGATATATTCATTTTTGTGTTATCATATAATGACATTTGTCATTTGCCTTCTTGGCAGAATCTGTGGACAAAACCACTATTTGCGAGCTTGAACTTGATGAAGCAAAGGTCAAACAATTCAAGGATGCTATTGAGAATGGTTATTGGTTTGAATTTTTCATTGGTAAGTTACTTATTTTTGTATCAACTTTATGATGATGGAAAATTTGTTTCTATTACAATTTAACTATTCCGTAAAATTAGTTTTATATAAGATCTTGTTTACCAGACATGCTACCATCCTCAACTAACCGATTTGTAAACCATGATATCATGACTAGCACTACTTTTTCTGTAAAGCACTAGCTCTCCTTTGGTCAAAACTCTGGAGACAACTTAGCTTTAAGTAAACTTGTCAAGCTCCTTTTTTTTTTTTTAATTCAGTTTTCTTTTTGTGTGAGCGGGTGGAGAGAGTCCCAGTTTTGTGCTTAGACATTTTTAGTTTTATCTGGACAACTAATATATACTGAAAACTGCATGGTTGGTATTTATTTAAGTTCAATATATTTTTATCAACTATGGCTGATATTTTGTATTATTAGAAGAGATCATGCAAAATTTTGAGGGTTTATACATTACATTTTTACACTGCCTTCGCCCCAATTATATGGTGTCAGGAGGCTTTATGCTTGACTCTCATTGGTGCATCATTAGGGGGAAAATGAAATTTCTTAAAATGATGAAGGGGTTTTTCTTTTATTATTTTATCCAAAAATATATGTGTACTCTGTAGGATTATTGGTGATTAAGATTGATCAACGGTTCTGCTCATGTTAAATTTTTCTTACTTCACTGTTATTGGAATTGGATTTAGCTTAAGAACAAGAATAATCCCATTCGTTAGGGGTTGCTCTCATGTGTGTTCTCTTTGTATGTGTATGTACATATGTGTAAGCTAGGAGCCAGTCTTCTGTTTTTATGCCTTCCATTTTCTTACAGAACCTATTATCATTAATAAATATATTATGAGTTCCATTTTCATATTGGTTATTCAATTACATATAATTTTTTTCGGTATTTTTTGCTGGTCTGCCAACTACAAATTCAGATGATCTACCTTTATGGGGTATGCCTCGAACCCTTTACTTTTATCAACTACATTTCAAAATTTTCTCACTATATTACCCATTTTTTAATTAACATTTATCATTTTTGCAGGTTTTGTGGGTGAGAACACTGATAATAAGATTGTGCTCTACACACATAAGAGTATAACTGTGAATTACAACAAAGATCAAGTGTGTGCCTGTTTATATGTTATGTTTTTGTGCAGATCTTTCTGTTCTGTTGATAAATTTCTTTTTTCTTATAGATCATTCATGTCAATCTTACTCAAGGGGGTGCAAAACCGTTGGAAGTTGGAGAAACAGTGGACATGACATACTCGGTGAAATGGATTCCGACAAACACCTCTTTCGCTCGTCGTTTTGATGTTTACCTGGACTACCCATTTTTTGAACATCAGGTAAAAATTGACATTCAGATGTTGATGTTATTTCAGCATAATGATTTCAAAACCAGTTTCTTCAACTTAATAGAAAATGTACGGCTGTGGTTATTCGTTAATAAAAGATTTGTCAGTTCATACAACCTTAATCAATATGCATGACTGATTCTGCTCATTTAAAACATTTTGCTTAAATGAGATCAAATTTGTCAATTATGGAAGGAGTACAAGTGCCTTTTACTGTTTCGTGGCAAATGCTCTATTTTCAGGCACAAGATTATGACTTATTTTCTAAATCTTGTAGATACACTGGTTCTCCATTTTCAATTCCTTCATGATGGTTATATTTCTTACCGGTCTGGTATCGATGATATTGATGCGAACTCTTCGAAATGATTATGCAAAATATGCTCGCGAGGATGATGATTTGGAAACCCTGGTAATAATCTTATCATCAAATAAATCTCGAGAATTTATAATCTCGATAATATCTTAAATTCATTGTTGAAGTGCGTATAACGTCTTCGTGATTAGGAAAGAGATGTCAATGAAGAGTCTGGATGGAAACTTGTTCATGGAGATGTATTTAGGACTCCTCGTAGTTTAGTTTTACTCTCTGCTCTTGTTGGCAATGGCGCACAGCTAGCATTGCTGGTTCTCCTTGTCATTTTATTTGCAATTGTCGGAATGTTGTATATCGGGTATGCCAAATGTAACTTGATTTTTAATTTACTTGAAATCTAGAATTAGTCATCTTACTTCGCAGTAGTCTATTGGAAGTGCTCTGTTCCCTCCCTCCTTTCCCCAGTCCCTTTTTCAGAGCATGCATGCAGTTTTTTCAATTTATTTTTTGGTTGATATAATACCAGTAGCATCCTCCAAGAATATAGGATGTTTTTGGATTAGTGGATTTGGATATTTTTTTTTTGACATCACCGTTCTGTTTACCTATTATCCTTGGTATCTGATTCAGATTGCTAACTTGGTGGTTTTCACTTATATATTGTCCAGGAGAGGTGCAATTGTCACTACTTTCATTATATGTTACGCTTTTACATCATTCATCTCGGGCTACGTTAGTGGTGGAATGTACTCACGCCATGGTGGTAAGTGCATGCCATTTGTACCCACGGTTCCCTGCTTTGCAGCATGCTATTTTTTGTTTGCCTATTATTATACCTTTGCTAACTCGTGTTGTAATTTGGTTATGTGATTTATGCTAAAATATTCTTCTATCCATATTGCAGGCAAAAATTGGATTAAATCAATGATCCTCACTGCTTCACTTTTTCCTTTTCTGTGCTTTGGGATTGGTTTCATGCTGAACACTGTTGCAATATTTTATGGGTCCCTAGCAGCCATTCCTTTTGGCACGATGGTGGTTGTCTTCATCATCTGGGCTTTTGTCTCTTTCCCCCTGGCTCTTCTGGGTACAGTTGTTGGAAGAAACTGGAGTGGTGCTCCAAACAATCCATGCCGAGTGAAGACCATTCCCCGGCCAATTCCTGAGAAGAAGTGGTACCTGACTCCGTCTGTAGTTTCTATGATGGGAGGATTGCTTCCATTTGGCAGCATATTCATTGAAATGTACTTTGTTTTCACTTCCTTCTGGAATTACAAGGTAATATAGTTGACCTCTCTTGAGTTTTGAAAGCTTCATTAAAGCCATATATCATGCTATTTTTTTTCTTGTTCATTACTTTGTCTATTTTATTATTATCTGAAAATTGAAGTATCTGATGCAGAGTTGAAAGAAAACTATATTAGTAACCAATTGGTTAATCTTTACATCTAACATGAAATGTTATAAATTTCTAGAGTGATATCAAAATGATCCTATGCCTTAGGGGTATCAGGGCTATTTAGAATTAGATCTATGTTGGGTATACTATTTTTAAGATAGTTGGATTTGTTTGAATCAATATTCCTAAATTTTCCATGCCTTATTTTTTGGGATTGGGTTCAATTGACTGAAAATCTAAGTACAAGCAAACATGGGTTGGCGGTGGCTTTGTGGGGCAAATTGTTTGTGGGTTGAATCAAGAGAACTTTGGCATGCTAATTCTGCTAAAAGCCTAAAACAAACATATGCAAAAACTGACTATCTATACATTTCTGCCGACAAAAATTCAATCTGTTTATGCACCAGTTTTGATTCTCATTTTCTGCACCTCCCTTAAATGACTCAGTCTTGGGGGTGTGGGAGGAGGAGGCAAGGAGCAGTGAAAGTTTTGAACAAACTATTTCTTTGATGAATTGTACATTAAGGGTTTGTTTGAACCCCATTTTTTTGGGAAAATACATTTTATAATAGTGATTCATTGGAGAATGTGGGGTTAAAATGTAGCGAAAATTTTTTTGGTTTACTTGTAAAATTATTTGCAACCATGCTACTTGTACAATGAATTTGACAATAAGTTTGACAATGTGTGAGTTGGTAGTCATTATGTCCATTGATTTGAAAGATTGTTTTTGAATTCAATGGCAATGATCTATACACCTCACACATTGTCAAAATCATTG